GTTTTCCTTATTGTTTTTTTTTAAAGACGTTAGAGGTTTTTAGCTGTGATAGAAATCTATCTTGATTTGGGTTTCCCTTTTCATACTACAGTGTATTTAATTGTACTATATTGTATTGTTTCTGTTTGATGTACTTTGCAATGGCCTATGTGCCACACAGTAAATATGTGTGTGTGTGTGTGTGTGTGTGTGATTTTGATTCAAATAATTAAACCTATTTGGAAGAGGCTCTGTTAGGAGGTCTCTTTCTTAGCAAAGTAAACGGCAACAGAAGGAGGTTTCATACTACAGTGTATTTAATTGTACTATATTGTATTGTTTCTGTTTGATGTACTTTGCAATGGCCTATGTGCCACACAGTAAATATGTGTGTGTGTGTGTGTGTGTGTGTGATTTTGATTCAAATAATTAAACCTATTTGGAAGAGGCTCTGTTAGGAGGTCTCTTTCTTAGCAAAGTAAACGGCAACAGAAGGAGGAACCACACGTTGGCAGGTGATCTGCACTGAACTTTTTATTCCAGGCTATCTGCCAACTGGAGTGAGACTACTTGAAACAAACACACTGTTTCAAGTAGATAGATGGCAGCACAACCAAGGAGCACGTTGGCACTTGCAATGGTGAAGTCTCCCCAGCCAATGCCATGACTGCTACTGCCACCATGTTCTTGACTGTCACCATCTTGACTGGTTGATGGTGGCAGCTGCCGCCAGGGAACGTGCTGACAGCAGCAGTGACTGGGTCTCCCCAGCCATGCTGTTGCCACTGTGCTCCTGGGCCACCAACACCAATAAGCCATCTGCACCGTTAAGCTGCCAGCTGGACAAGCAGAGCTGACTGCAGAGGAAGCCCTACTGCAGTTTAAAATGGTGTGCACTGGGTGCCATTTTAAACTGCAGTTAGGCTAGTCATGTGAAGCAACAAAAGTTATTTTTCATTCAATACAGTTTTTTTTTCAGGGTGTCTACTTGTGGCCAATGTTCCCTGTGAGCCTCTGAACCCAACTTGCTCCAGAACATTCTTCCAACAGAAAGTATGTTCATATATGATAAATACTATCAGGTAAGGAATGCTAATACATTTTGAGAAATTCTAGCAGTGACACAGAACAGTAGTTAGTAACTTTTAATTTTAATATTTTCTGAGTGGCTAAACTTATTGCACGTGGTTCAAAAGAATGTCGCTGTTTGGTTTGGCTGACTCCTTGCAATGCCTACATTACATACAAGGCAAAACAACAACAACAACCCTCAAGTATCTATAAGGAATTATAAGAGAAGAATCCTTACTATCAGAAAAACTGGACAAGTTCTTGCACGTGGATTTTCAGTGTGCCATTTCTCCCCACAGAACAGATTGTGTACGCTAGAATTCAAAGATACACTTATATCTTCCTCTTTCTCTACAGCTGCCTTATCTATCACTAAAACCCTGTTTAGTAAGTTATGTCCCATAAGGCTGATGATGTAATCAACCATGGTGATTTTTTTGGAAATACTGTAAAACATTTCCAATCCTACCCTCATCCCAGATCCCAAAGCTCCCATGGCATCTCTTGTCATGGGCAAGCTGCTGGAGTCAGCAAGACCCCGGGGAGTCTTTAATTTCCCAAATTAATTTACGGAATAGGATTTCAGTTTACGTGGGGGTGGTTGAGGCTGTGCATGCGTGCAGCAGTGTAACAAAAATAATAGACTCAATCCAGTTTTTAGTAGACTACTGAATCAATGGAACTTACTTAAGTATTGATACACCATCCAACAACTGATTCAATGGGTTTACTCTAGTGGGACTAACAACTGAGTATAGCCCTATTATTATTATTAATAGTAGCAGTAGTACTATACTCCTATAAACCATTGAATGCAAGCTTTGTTGTTGCTGCTGCTTTGAATAGCCCAAAGCTCATAGTTTGTTTAAGTGTTACATTTCTCTCAGAACTGGGACTCAAGAGAGTTGAAAAACAATATCACTATATATAGTAAGTTGAAAATACAGTCGTGCCCCGCTTTACGATTACCCCGCATTATGACAAATCCGCTTCACGATGATGTTTTTGTGATTGCAAAACGATGATCTAAATCACTGGTTCTTAACCTTGGGTTACTCAGGAGTTTTGGACTGCACCTCCCAGAAGCCTTCACCACCAACTGTGCTGGCTGGGGTTTCTGGGAGTTGCAGTTCAAAAACATCCGAGTAACAAAGGTTAAGCACCACTGGTCTAAATGGGGTTTTTTCGCTTTGCGATGATCGGTTCCCTGCTTCGGGAACCGATTCTTCGCAAAAGAATATTTTTTTAACAGCTGATCGGTGGTTTCAAAATGGCCAGCGGGTAATTAAAATGGCTCCCCGCTGTGTTTAGGGACGGATTCCTCACTATACAGGTACCGAAAATGGCCGCCCTGTGGAGGATCTTCACTGGACGGTGAGTTTTTAGCCCATTGGAACACATTGAATGGTTTTCAATGCATTTCAATGGGCTTTTTATTTTCGCTTAACAGTGATTTTCCTGGAACGGATTATCGCCATTAAGCGAAGCACCACTGTACTGACATGACAGTACTGCATTAAAATACAGTTAAAACTGAAACACTTTAAAACTCCTAACTAAAATACTAATATTTTGCCTCTATCCCCAAAGAAGATAATAACTAAAAAAAAACAGCACCTCAACTGCTGATTAATTAGAAGGCTTTTAAGTGCAAAGGTCTGTCAAATAATAAAATATTTTTGCCTCATGACAGAAAGGTGGTGGGGGAGGGGCAAATGTAGCTTCTCTTAGCAAAACAGTTCTAGAGCATCTACTGAGTTGTCCATCTCTGAAGTCTCCACCAAATAGGCCTTTGAAGATTGTGGGACCCTGAGAAGGGCCTCTTCAGCTGCTCTCAAAACAAAGTGGGTTTATATGAGAGATGATAGCCTTTCAGACAGCATGAATCATGTCATACAGGGCTTTACTGGTGCTAAGAAGCACTATGAATTATGCCTCAAGATGGGCTACTTAGCCAGTAATGTTAATTTAGAAAGGGAGTTTTATGTTCCTTGTAACTAGCCCCAGTGAGCAATCTGGCCACACTGGTTTGCATCAGTGGAAGCTTATAAACAACCCTCAAGGGCAGACCCATACAGAGCATGCTACAGTAATCCAATCAGGATGTAACAGCAAAAAGGGCTACTGTGTTTTAAAAAGGGCCCTCCATAAAAGACTGAGAAGGGCTGTTCAATCCTTCAGCCTTTTGGCTAAATGGGATAGTAGATACAAAGCTTCAGAGCCTCATCTAAGAACTTCCTAGGATAGCGATCGCCTTTTCAGAGTGGCACCCAAGCATCAGCTAGGTGAAATAGATTTAGTATTTCTGTCTTCAGGTGAGTGAGAGATGAGTCCTAATCCAGGACTACTGAGCCTCAAAGTGTCAACATTACTTTCTTTAAAAAAGAGCAGGACCCACTTTTTAACGTGGTTTTTGGAGCAAATGTCCAAGCATCTCTCTCCACCACTACGGGATACAAATATTACTAGTAAGCAGATTTGAGAACTCATGTTTCTGGGGTGTGCTAGTCATCACACCATTGTCAGCCCATCAAGAGAAAGAGAAAGCAATGCCTGTGCTTTTTTACAATGGATTGCAACCTATAACAATGAAGACATTTTTTTAGTTATAGATGGGTGAAAATTTCAGGTCAGAATCCTCTGATTAATTTTGGATCAAAGTTTACCAAAAATAACATTTTTTAAAAAACAAGATGATAAGTATCTGTTTTTTTTAAAATTGACTCTGGGAGAAAGCAACATTGTGATTCAACCATTCCAATTGGAAAGAAGAACCACACGAAAAGAAAGTTCTCACTTTCTTTTTAAAGAACTATGTTTAAAAAACATCAGTCTTTTTTAATTTTAATTTTTTTAGTTTTTAACACTCTGATTCCAGGACCCTTCACTTCAAACTAAGTATCAGTTATTCCAGTGATGCTTAATCCAAGATCATAACTTTGGAGCGTTCAATAGAACTCCACATAATATAAATATCGCATTCCTAAATCAACATGCTTATTCAAATTTCTGGAATGCTGTGTGAGTGCAAATACTGCCATTTGCAGGCTTTTTAAAAAAAGAAACTTAACACATCCCATAAGTAATTCAGCACTTTCACTGCATAACTAAAGAGTAGCATTTCCAATATCATTTACTGCACAAAGCACAAGGCATCCTGAACACAAACTTCTGGATGGCTCAGTGGTTAAGTATCTGGCAGTGGAGCCAGAGATTGGGAGTTTGATTCCCCTGTGTGCCTCCTTGACAGGGGCTGAACCTGATGATCCATAGGATCCTTTCCAACTCTGCAGTCCTAAGGTTATTATAATTAATATAATTAATTAATATTTCTATTAAATGTACTGCTTTAAAAAGTAATGCACCCTACCTCCTTATTGGTGGGTGTTTCTGCTGTACCACAGACATCCTGGTGATGTTGCATACTTGACGATTCAGCACCTTGAGGTGAAGATGAATCAGGAGATGGAGACTAGATAGAAAAGGATGTACAATGAAACAAAACCCTGAATGAACAATAAGAAGTGTTTCTCTGCTGTTACTTTGAGTTTGAAAATTGGGCAGGGGATTTCAAATTCAGCAAAAATCCAGTTAAATACGTAACAAGCAGAATTCAATAACATTATTTTCAGATTTATATTCACTTGGAAACAGATCTCATTATTTGTAAACATGCTTACAATCACAAACTTCAGAGATATAGAATTAAATAGATTTTTGTTTAAGCCACTAATTTGATAAATATTTAAAAAAACCCAGACAGGGATAAAATACTGAACAGAATAGGAACCTCAATATCATACATATGTTGGCTCAGCCCAATATTACATGTGTTTGCTTAGAAGTTAAGTCTTCACTGAGTTTGACAGAGCTTACTTGCAGTGGGCACAGGATTGCAGCTTAAATAGTATAATAAAATTAAAAACTGAAAACATATGTTTGTAAAGTCTGTAGTTTATTTTCTGCAAAGTAAGGCTTGGTTTAATATTCTGTCCCTTAATTAAATAACTAACTACAAATTATATTCAATCACATGATCTTAATTATTGCAAAAATTAAATCAACAAAATTTCCAGTACAGGGAGGATGATAAAACCTCTGAACTTGCACACCGCTATTTATCTTAAGACTATGTCATTTTCTGTGTCTTTCTTAACTCTTTAGCTATGGGAGAAAGTGAAATGAGGAAGCAAATCAAGCTGACAGACAGACAATTAACAATGAGATGACTTATCAATGCAGAATTGAGTCCTAGTAAAGGTGCTCTTTCTATTACTGTATTATCTCTATATAGAAAGGGCATGTGTGGGAGGAAAGCTGTTATGCCACAGAGCCTGCAGGGTAACAGGCCTGGAGACATACAACAATCATTCCCCAGTCCCCAAACTACCAACAGGGAACCAAAAGAGAGTAGAAAATGGGATGGATGTTAGTGATCTGGCAGAAAGGTTTCGTTGGTCTTCATACACTTGTCCCACCAATTTATCCAGATATGACGGAGGATTGAAAGCACTTTAAATATACATCATGGGAAGCAAATGTTCTCCCCGTCACAACCCCTTTCAAAATAAAAGACAAAACCTCTTGTTGTTTGCTATAACCTGCCTCTATAAAAATATGCTATTATTGCTGGATTTCAAGTTACTGAGGTATTCTACTCTTCTGCAATATCATCAATATTTACATAGATACTAGTAGCAAAGACCATAATCTTTTTAAAGATATTCAGTTTACATTCCTACTGTAATATCTTACATAATATTATGTAGCATGTATCAGACAACGAATACTAGAATTAAGTACCACTTAAAAACATATTATAGTTCTTTTGCAAATAATAACATCAAACTGTATTATAATATTTATATTACCAAAATGTATGGTAGGTTAGGTTGCTTGTTTTTGCATATGCACAAATATATATGCAAGAATATTCTCCTGATCATACTTTTTTCATATATCTATATCTATTTATGCAGCAATATCCTCTTCATCCTACCATGCATTTTGAGGCACAAATAATCAAAACATTATGTTAAAATGTCCTGTAAAACTACAGAGGTTTCTACTTATTCCACATCTATGGAAGTCTGACTGACAAAGATCTTTTATATAATTCAGCCTTAGGAAAAACTTGGTACTATGCATGAAGAATGTCTTCAGAGGACAAGTGATTCCTATCAGAATACACCTACCATCCTCCTAAGAAACTCAGCCTGATATATCAAAAAATTCTCCATTTCGATTTTGTTGCTGTTCTGCTTCCTTCACCTGCGGGAATCAGCTCTTACGTCCTTTGGACATGAAAATGAAGCCTGTAATAGGAGATGCTGCCTGTGTCCTGCCTATGTAAATTGCTCCTCTTTGATGGACTGGCTGTAAAAAAGGAATTCTACCACAGCATGCAGCATTTTCTTTTCTCACCTGTTTATTATGTTCATTTCTTACCTTGCACAAGGATACACACACAGAACTGTAACATTATTGGTATCATAACTTTGTGAGTAGTACTATTTGATACAATGTAAACTATAAAGCACTTAAAATATTTATTTTTATTTTTTCTTTTATTTTTTCTTTCATCTTATTCCATAACTTTGTGAGTAGTACTATTTGGTACAATGTAAACTGTAAAGCACTTAAAATATTTATTTTTTTAATTTTTCTTTCTTTTATTTTTTCTTTCTCTCATCTTATTCCATTTTGCTAATTTTTTAATCTAATTGTATTAACTAATATATTAATTGTATTTTATGATTATTTATATTTTATATTGTCTTATTTTATGTTGTAAGATAAACGTGATGATTTCACTGGCTGTGGCAAATCACCACTGATTAAAGGATTCCTTCAGTAATATCTTGGTGCACCCAACTTTGTCATATTGTGTACAGGTCATGTGCACCCAAAATTGCCTTTAATCAGCAATTTACCACTGATGGTGATGTCACTCCTATTGTGCATGCAGGGCTTTGCAACAGGACTTCAGCCATCAATAGTGAAGTATTCACTACTGAATCATCTAGGAAAATTAGTACAGCTTCCAGTTTTTGCACAGATCCCATGTTTCAGTGGAGCAGTGAGAGTGACTAGAACAACTACAAGCAGCTTCCAATTCCTTCTCTGAAGGAAACTTTAAAGAGAAAAGTCCTAACAAACAAACAAACAAAACTTGTGGCATACATTTGGGTTTTAAATGGCTAATCATTTTAAGGGTGAAATACAGCTGGAAGGAAGATATAAGTTGGCATACTGGTCTGAACGACCGAGTTGTTTTGGGATTTTGGGCTTTGATAATGTTGTGAAACTTTACAAAAATATGCAAGACCAGTTCAAAGAGAGACTGGGGAAGGCACACAAAGGAACATGTCTGCTGTACACAATTAATTCAAAATATGTGAGAAGCCATTAAAAAAACAAGAAGGAAAATCAAACAATATTAGAATGTGCCTTCGCAAGGAGCTACACCTGGGGTGAGTGATCTCAGGGGGCCCCTGAATCCTGAATTTGACTGGCAGCTTTTGGGCCACTCTCCCCCTGCAGTCCTAACAAACAAACAAACAAACAAATAAAAATTGTGGCATACATTTGGGTTTTAAATGGCTTTTCTGTAATGTAATTAACTGAATTGCATAATGAAGGCTTTCAACAGGGTGTGCCTCCTGACTTTGTGTGTATGAGGTAATTGCAGATTCTTTTTAATTTCCTATTTCACATCTTCATGGTTAAGACAGTTTATGCATCAAAGAATCACAGAACTGCGATTCACTGATGCATAGCCAGATCCTAACAACAGAGAGACAAAGGGAAATAACACAGTCACCAAATAACTCAGAAAAGGAAATAAGACCGTCATATAGTTAAGCAAATTGAGATACAGAAAAACCAAATTTTAAACTAAAATAAAAGCAACACACAATATAAGATGATTGAATAAGATAAAATAAGTTAAATTCAACATTTAAAAGCCACAGAAAAGCCAGAAAAGGCAGCTGTAAAGCCAGGATCACACTGTCAATTTTGAGAAGACTTTTTTTAGTGGCTTAAAAAACTCCCCTAGGTTTCCACCCAGTCATCTCTTGCCTGGGGCCCTGTTTGCAGTCCAGCAAAGCCAGATCATCCAAGAGGACAACCACTATGTCCCAGGGTCCTGTGGGGCCTTAGGTCAGAGTCACTGGCTGGAGAAGAGTGAAATCTGGCCAATCAGAAGAGGGCCAATCAGGGAATGCTGATTGAATAGGAGAGACGCCTGCCTGGCAGACTAGAATTCTGCAGTTTTCACTCCAGTCCATCAGGGAAGTATATCTGAACTTTCACAGCTTCGCTCTGGCCAGTATTTTGCCCACCACCCTTTATGTAATGTAGCCTGCTACTGAATTATTCCTGTGATATTCCTGTGTTAACGTATAGGCCTGTTTACTTTTCGGTCATTATTTGTAATGGAAAATAGTTTTATGCACAGGAGCAGATCTATGTTGGGAGAGGCGGGCATTAAGCCCTATCTCCGGCTAAGGACCAGCCCCACTGGGAAATCAAAAAGTGGGGGCTTGACAGGGGCATACCTGGCTCAGGAGAGTCGCTACACTCCATAACAACAGATAACAATCTCCCCACAATTAGTCTTGTGCCCCAAGGGTATAACCAATTCTGGTTACCAATTTTTGATTGACCAGCAACAGGATGGAAAAGGTGTGCATCTGGTAGTCTGGTACCCAAATGCAGGGACCTGCTCCATATAATTCTACTGTAGCACATCAAGAGAGTGACCGTTCATTATGCCTACAATCTATTTTTCAATGAAATTGTTAAATTGTCAACAACAGTGTGACTTATTGGCAGATGGGGATGGCAGGACCTAGGTCTACAATATATTTCTGAGGCATCGTCGTCGTTGTCATTTAGTCGTTTAGTCGTGTCTGACTCTTCGTGACCCCATGGACCAGAGCACGCCAGGCCCTCTTGTCTTCCACTGCCTCCCGGAGCTGGGTCAAAATCATGTTGGTTGCTTCGGTGACACTGTCCAACCATCTCGTCCTCTGTCGTTCCCTTCTCCTCTTGCCTTCACACTTTCCCAGCATCAGGTTCTTTCCAGGGAATCTTCTCTTCTCATGAGATGGCCAAAGTACTGGAGCCTCTGCTTCAGGATCTGTCCTTCCAGTGAGCACTCAGGTTTGATTTCCTTTAGAACTGATAGGTTTG